ATGACCTTAAATGAATATGCATGGTCTACAAACTTAGCCAGCCCGATGCCCCTTCCCTTGTATTTCGGCCTTAAATATTTTTTTCTGCCTTAAATATTTTGAGGTTATGTTGTTAGATTCATATGAATACTAGGTTACTTAGTTCCTGCTGAATTATTTCTCATCAAGCAATGACACCTATATCCCTAATAATTCTTTACCTCTTAAAATCAATTTTGTCAGATTTTAATATTGCTGTACTGGTTTTCCTTGTCCATGTTAACGTACACTGAGAGGCAGCACAGAGCAGTGTTAAGAGCATGGCATCTGAAGTCAGACTGCCTGGGTTCACACTCCAGCACTAACACTTTTTGGTGTGTGACTTCAAGTCAGTTATAATCTCAGTCTCCCCGTGTACAAAATGGGCGTAGTTAACTACCCACCTCGGAGGGGTTTTATGAGAATTAAAGTAATCACTATTTTTAAAGCATTTTGAGGGGCGCCTGGGTGGCTCAGTTGGTTAAGCGTCTGCCTTCAGCTCAGGTCATGATTCTGGAGTGATCCTGGACAGTCCCAGGATCGAGCCCCATGTCAGGCTCCCAGCTCAGCAGAGAATCTGCTTTTTCCTCTCCCTCTGCTCCTCCCCGATTGTGTTCACTCTCTTGCTCACTCTCTCTCTCTTTAAAATCTTTTTTAAAAAGCGCTTTGAATATCATAAATAAACACTACATAGGATTTATAAAATGAAGTAATTAAATATATATATCTGCATCCCTTTTCTGTGTCATTTTTTTAAGTATTTCTCTGGTTAAACACCATATAGCTGGTAGATACTGCAATGCTGCAGTAGATATTATATAAATCCTAGCACATATGTGTGAGTGTATCTGTAGAGTAACTCCTAGAAATGAGATTGCTGGGTGGAAAGATATGTACATTTGTAATTTTGCTAGATAGTGCCAAATTGCCTTACATAGGAGGCTGGTACAACCCCGATGTAGGGCAATTTGGCACTATCTAGCAAAATTGATCTTCGCCAGGCCGTTAAATGAAAAGCGACATTTCAGAGCAGATTTAATTTGCATTTCTCTTATTTTAAGTGAGGTTGAGTATACTTGAATGTTCTTTGTATTTCTTTTCCATGAATATTCTCTTACCCATTTTCAACTGGGTTGTTGTTCTTTTCTGTATTATTTGTACAAGTTTTTTTTTTAAGATTTTATTTATTTGTTTGACAGAGAGAGACACAGTGAGAGAGGGAACACAAGCAGGGGGAGTGGGAGAGGGAGAAGCAGGCTTCCTGCAGAGCAGGGAGCCCGATGCGGGGCTCAATCCCAGGACCCTGGGATCATGATCCGAGCCGAAGGCAGACGCTTAACGACCGAGCCACCCAGGTGCCCCATTGTACAAGTTTGTTTTTTTTTTTAGATATTGGAAAATCAGTCCTTCTTCTATGGTATGAGCTGATTTTTTTTTTTTTTTTTAATTCTAAGCACTTCCCCTCAGGAATGGAGAAAAATGGTGAGAAAGAAAATTTTGAATACTATCTCAAAACATTTTCTGCCAAGTAGTAAAAGCTACTTTTTCTGGTCACTGACTTCACATGTGCTAAACACATGTTTAAACCTCATTTTCTGGTAGATAATATTATCTTCATTTTACAAATGAAAAAACCGAAGATCAGAGAGATTCAGTCATTTGCTCATTTAACAAATATTTAGTAGGCACCCACTGGGTTCTTTACTTTGGGGATATATTAGTAAGTGAAACAGAAAAGGTCCTTTTTATGGGCTTGCATTCTTGCTGGGGAAATATAGACAACAAACCAGTATACAAATAAGATAATTTCTGATAGTGGTAAATGCTATGAAGAAAATAGGAAATAGGGTAGCTGCTGTTAGGTTGGGTGGTCTCCAAAGTCCTATCTGAAAATATGAGATTTGATCTGATGCCTAAAAGGAAAGAGAAGAGCTGGGAAATGGAACTGTTGGTATAAAGGCCCTAAGGCAGTAACAAGTTGGGCTCATTCAAGACACAGGGAAGTTTGGTCGGAGGAGCTAGCAGGGAAAGCCACGGGGTGGTTTTGAAAGGGAGGGTAATTTGATCCATAATGGGGGACCCCAAACAGCTTTTTTGTTGACATGTATATCAGTTGTCTATTGCTGTCTAACCCCAAAATGTAATGACTTACCTACCACCAATTACTGATTTTCACTGGGTTTCTGTGGTACTGGAATTTGGGAGCAACTTGCTTGGGCTTTTCTGTCTCCGTATCTCTTGTGAGGTTGCAGTCTTCGGAAAGCTTGGCTAGGGCTGAACCATCTCCTTGCAAGATGGCTCAATCACATTAGTGGTTAAGTTGGTGCTGGCTGTTAGCAGGAAGACTCCATGCCTCTCCGTCTCCACAAGAGCCTCTCCACAGGCATACTTGAGAGTCCTCATGTCATGATTGCTGGCTTCTCCCACAGCAAGTGATCCAAGAAACAGCAATACAGATGTTGAAATGTTTTATAACCCAGCCTCAGAAATGGCGCATTGTTCTTTCCCCAATATTCTATTGGTACATAGCCCTATTTGATGTGGTCGTGACTGCCAGGAGATGTATGCCCTTGCAGGCCATCTTGGGAGACTGGCTACCACAATGTTTCAGCGGCTGATTTTATTTTATTTTTTAAAGATTTATTTATTTGAGAGAGTGAGAATGAGAGAGAGAGAGAGTACATGAGAGGGGAGAGGGTCAGAGGGAGAAGCAGGCTCCTCGCCGAGCAGGAAGCCCGATGCGGGACTCAATCCCAGGACTCCGGGACCATGACCTGGGCTGAAGGCAGTCGTTTAACCAACTGAGCCACCCAGGCGCCCTCAGCGGCTGATTTTAGGCAACAGGCTTGAACAGTGGAAACCTGAGTAAGGTAGAAGGGCCCACAGTGACCCCAACCCCCTGGCTAATACAGACAGGCCCAGGGGACCCACCTCAAACTATCCGTAGGCCCTAACTAACAAATGGGCTACTTACAACCGGGCACAGGTACCAAAAAATGGAAAATTCCGTATGTTCCCATACCTGCTCACCTTCCCTCTTGAAAAACAGCCCCCACCCATAGCAGGCCATCTCTCCTTTGTGGCCTGCCCGCTGCTCACTTGGGGTGTATTCGATAAATTTCTATCTCCTTTGTTCTGCCTCACATGAATGCTGTCACTGCCCGCGCCACTGGCTTCCACCTGATTGAGTCACCCCACATTTGGGGACCCCCATCCAATAGGGACAGACACCACAAATGTGGGTATTTTTAAATTTAAGTTTATAAATGTAAAAGTATTTTATATATTTGTATATATATTTAGAAAATAAAATATGTGATATTTACATTAGAAATTAAAGCTTAAAAATATTGTTCATCGGGGCACCTAGGTGGTTCAGTCAGTTGGGCATCCAACTCCTGGTTTCAGCACAGGTCATGATCTCAGGGTCCTGAGATCGAGCCCCAAATCCAGATCCATGCTCCCCAGGGAGTCTACCTAAAGATTCTACCCCTCTGCCCGCCCCCAACCACATGCGCGCATTCATGTGTGCAACTGCTTGCACTCTCTCTCAAATGAATAAATAAATCTTTTTTTAAAAATGTATATTGTTGGGACGCCTGGGTGGCTCAGTCAGTTAAGCATCTGACTCTTGGTTTCAGCTCAGGTCATGATCTCAGGGTCTTGGGATTGAGCCCTGAGTCTGGCTCCCTGCTCAGCAGGGAGTCTGCTTGCCTCACTCTCCCTCTGCCCCCCCCCCTTCACGGGCTCTCTCTCTCTCAAATGAATAAATAAAAATTTTTGTCTTGAGCAACTGAGTGGATTGTATGACATGTACTGAGATGGAGAATAGGTGGGTTTTTTGAGGGGTGGGTGAGTGAAACAAATGTTCTGTTTTGAACATATTAAGCCTGAGGTGCCCGTTAGACATCCAAATAGAAATGTTCAGTAGTCATTTGAGTATATAAGTCTGGAGATCAAGGGAGAGGTCAGAGCTTGAGATAGAAATTCTGCAGGCATTAACATAGAGCTATAGTAAAGCCAAGGAGCTGAATGAGATCTCCTAGTGAGAAAGTGTTAATATGGAAGAGAAGAGGGCTAAGGGCTAAAAGCCTCGGCATGCTGCAACATTTATGGGTGAAACAATGGCTTTGGATCCAGCAAAGGAGATTGAGGAACCATTGAGGGAAGGTGAAAACTGGTAGAAATAGAAGCAGAATGAAGAAATTGGCTCAAGAAGTAGGGAAGAGTCTGTTGCAATGTTCTAGAAGTCAGATAGGCTGAGTATAGCAAAATGACCGTAGGATTGGGAACATGGAAGTTAGAGCTGACCTGGACAGGTCCAGTTTTAGTGGAGAGGTGAGGATCAATGGCTAATTACATGAGTTGGGGAAAAGATGGGAAGTGAAGAATGGAGCACCTCTTTTGAGAAATTATTTTGTTGGGTGGGTAACAAAGACGTGAAGATGAAATAATGTGTACGTGAATTTTTCTTTTTCTTTTTTTTTTTTTGGTAAATTGTCAATGCTCTATAAGTGATAGGCTTGTTTTGTTATTTATTATCTAACTCCCAGGAATTTCCAACCTGCTCAGTGTGAAGAATCACTAAGACTAGGCTACCACTAGTCCCCAACTTCCCGTCTATTAAGGCGCAGGGTATCTCCACCCAATGACAAGCCAAGAAATGAAGAGACGGATGGAGAAAGCGGAAATAAAAAGGAAGGGGTAAAGAAAGATTTGCTGAGTTAACATTGACCTCGCAGGGCCACCGTAGGGCAGACCCTCAAAGCTATTACGCTCTTTTAGGGGGCGGAGCCGACAGGAAATTTAAACCGAAGCCGCGGCCGAGGGCGCCTGGAGACTGATAATGTACTCGTGGAGTTTCCGTCGGCGCTCGGACGTCTGAAATCGCTCATGGAGCCCGCGAATATAACGCGGAGGCCTTGAGGAAGGAGTACGGAGGCCGAGAAGGAGCCGAGAACTTGAGGAGGGAGCCAGGCAAGGGTACGGATGCCGGGAAGGGGAAGATGGGGTAAGAAGGTAGGCGGAAGGGGTCGTGAGAGTGTAGAGAGGCTAAGGGCTGGGGAAGGTGCGCGAGAACGGGGGAGCAGATAGGTGCAGGAGCTGAGGAGGGTAGAGGGGCCGGGAAGGGCTCCCAGGAATTGAGGAGGCCGAGGTCTCAAGGGGGTGGAGGGACTGAGGGGACAAGAACCTGGAGGGGGGCACGGGAATTGAAATGTACAAGGGTGGCCAAGAAGCCGTGGAAGTTGAGGGCGCAGAGTCCTAGTGGGGGCTGTGGGACCGAGGGACAAGAACCTTGAAGGAGGCGCGGGAGGTGAGATGGGATGTGGATTGGGATGGAGTTGAGGCTGGCTGTACCCGGGAGCCGCGCGGGGGATCGTGCGGGAATTGGGAGGCGGGGGGGGGAGGGGATGATAGAAGGTCGAAGGCTAATGAAGGTGGTCCTGCTGTTTTGTCCTTTCTCAGGCGACGGCAGATTCTCTGAGCTGCAGAGTTCTATGGCGGAGAGTAGGCTCCGGGCTTCGGACCTAGGTAGGTAACAGGTCAGAACTAGGGATGCGAGGTCGAAGTTGCTACTCCTGCACCAGAGTCACTTGGGATGGAAAGGTCGAGAAATGTTAGCGCTATTGGGGTTTTCTAATTTCTTAGTGGTTTTGAGTGTGTGTATATGGTGGGATGTCATGAAATCATTTAGGAATTCATGTTAAATGTCAAATAAGAGCTTTCAGTCTGATATTATGAACAAGATTAGCAGATGGGGAGTCAGGATAGAGTACCTTATTAAGCCCACATTCATGGCTATTTTTACCATAAACTCACCGAAATAGATAAGTATTTCAGCACATGCTGACTTCCCTCAATATTCCCCCTCCCACTTCTTCTTTTTTTCTTTAAGATTTTATTCATTTACTTGACAGAGAGAGAGATAGAGAAAGGGAACACAAGCAGGGGGAGTGGGAGAGGGAGAGGCAGGCTTCCCGCTGAGCAGGGAGCCCGATGCGGGGCTCGATCCCAGGACCCTGGGATCATGACCTGAGCCGAAGGCAGACGCCTAATGACTGAGCCACCCAGGCGCCCCTCTCCTCCTCCCACTTCTTTCAGTATCTTCTAGTTTTAGTTTTGGATTGTTACAGATAACAGGCTTTGGTTGTTGCCTTTGAACCGGTAATACACTTTACTAGGTTACCTACTCTTCCTTTGCTGGAGAACTTTTCTCCAAGAATGTTTTCAAAAGGGGACTTTATGGGATAAACTTTCTGAGGCTTGTATGCCTGAGAATATCTTGATTTCACCGTTGTGTTAAAATTCTTGAGTCAAAGTTCTTTTCCTTCAGCACAGTGAAAAATGGTATTTTCTTCCTGCAAAAAGTAGAGCCTGTTGATAATTGATGTTGGTCTGATTCTTGTTCCTTTGTAAGTGACCTGCTTTTTTCATTAGAACATTTTAGATGATTCTCTTTATATTTGTTCTTAAAATTCACTGTAGTATGACTATGTGAATTTTAGAGGGTTTAATTTACTTATTACAGTTTTACGGTTACATAATTTTAAAAGGAGGCCAGGTCTCCCCTGGCCTCTCTCTCTCTCACACACCTAGAGTTGGAGTTGTTCCTCCTGATTGCCACTCCCGAGGGTGCCACTGTTTACAGTTGTTTTCACTATTTCTTCTAGTATTTACCTACTTATTTCTAAATAGCATGCTCATACTGCTTTTGTTGTTTTCAACTTAAGTTATATCTATTGACTTCCTAGCATGGAAAATATTTTTTCTGTTTCCCCACTTAAAACCTGCAGCGCGCGCGCGCGCGCGCACACACACACACACACACACACACACACACACACACACACACAATTTTCCTCCTCTTCTCTCCTCCCAGTGTATATGAAGTTTTGGTTTGTTTTTTTTTTTAAGTAGGCTCTACGCCCAGAGTAGAGCCCAACATGGGCCCAAACTCATGGCCCTCAGATAGACCTGGGCTGAGATCAACCCACTGAGCCACCCCAGCGCCCCTATATTAGTCATTTTTGATTGGTCATTTATTTATTTGCATTATCATTATTATGGTTATTTACAGATGACCCATGTAGCAAAGTAGGAAATATGCTTCATTTTCTATGAATGATCACCAATTCATGTCCATATTCTACCAGAATTATAAACCTTCCCTCAATACCTTCAAGCTCATCAAAGAATCCATCAGTTTCTTCTTTGTCTGGAAGACATACCTTCTGAAACCATTTGTCCTAGTCTTCAGTGTGGTCCAGCTATGTGTAGGCTTGTTGCACTGATTTCATCCTAGAATCTCCCTTCATCATTCTATGGATTTCCCTTTGCTTTTTTCCTGGGTAGGATCCCCTACATTCCAAATTCCTATTTTCTTCTCTCTTCATTTACTTCCTCATTTTGGTAGAGCACAACTTCTAATATAGCTTCCTGAGAAAGGGTACATGACAGATAAATTTTTCAAGACCTCCAGGTCTGATAATTCTTTACTTTTTTTTTTTTTAGATTTTATTTATTTGAGAGAGGGAGAGAGAGCATGAGTGGTGGGGGGTGGGGGGGGCAGGGGCAGAGGGAGAAGAAGAAGCAGGCTCCCTGCTGACCAGTGACCAGGGAGCCTGATGTGTGGCTCGATCCCAGGACCCTGAGATCTTGACCTGAGCTGAAGGCAAACACTTAACCCACTGAGCCACCCAGGCGCCCTGACAATTCTTTATTCTACTTTACATTTGAATGATAGTTCAGCTAAAGATCATTTTTCCCCAGAATTTTGAAGACATATTCCACTTTTATTAAGTGTACAAATCGTTTTGTTTTAATTTTTAATTCCAGTATAATTAACATCCAGTGTTATATTAGTTTCAAATGTACAATATAGTGTACAATATAGTGATTCAACCACTTTCCACTTCTTGTAGCTTCCAGTATACTATGGCAAAGTCTGATGCTGTAAATATTTCTACCTTCCTCCTGAACACAATAAGCACCTAGACTGGCCTGTCTCTGAACCACCCCTGCCCCCATCTAGCAACAATATGATTATTGTCTGTCTTTTTTTTTTTACTTCCAAATTAGTCATTGTTATTGTTGTTTTATACAGTCAGTGATTGTTTAGATTTATACATATTTTTGCCAAATTTTTGACATTCAGTCCTTCTGGGTCTAGCTTCCTTCATCCCAAAGTACACCTCTGCGAAGTCCTTTAGTAGGAAGTGGTTGGGGATAAATGGGTTTTCTTTGTTTGAAAAATGCCTTCAGTGTTCTTTGTTGAAAAATGGGTGGCTTAGTCGGTTAAGCATTAGATTCTTGACTCTTGGTTTCAGCTGAGGTCATGATCTCATGATTGTGGGATTGAGCCCAGTGTCTGGCTCCATGCTGTGTATGGATCCTGCTTAGGATTCACTCCCGCTCCCTGGATCCCTCCCCTGCCCTCAAAAAAAAAGGAAAAAAAGAAAGAAAGATGCCTTTATTTTGCCCTTGCTCTTGAATAATTGTTCAGTCAGATATAAAATTCTAAGTTGACATTTATTTTAAATACTGATTTTAGTGAAATAAAGCATTTAATAATTTAAGTAATTATTTTGTAGTCTATATCTGATCATTCTATTTGAAGTTCCTGGGGATCTAATTTTGCTGTCTCTTATTTCTAATGATTCTGACCCACAGTGGTTTGTTTCCTTCATGTGTTTTATAATGTCGGAGGGTGAGTTAATGTTTGATGATGCTATTTCTGAGGAAATTCTTGGAACCCTGAGCTAAGCTGTCAACCTCTAGAATTGCTTTGCATTTGGTTATTTAAAGTATGCCAAAGATGTTATGAGCTGGAATTATTTTTTACTTTAATTTCTCTGATGGTGGTGGTAATGGGTTCTTAGACCACATAAATAATGTGAATTTGAATTCCAAATTCTTGGGAGGCCTATGGTTATGAGTTCTCAGAGAAGACTTTTGTCATGCAGAGCCCAGGCTAATATAGACAGTATTCCCCTTTTGTCTCTTTCAGTGGGTAGATTATTTTCTGATTTACCTTTTCTCCTAGATTCATGCAGGATTTCTCAATTCTAACTCCCCCCTTTAGGCAGGTATAAAACCTTATCTCCTGGGCCCATCTGACTCATCAATCCCAAACCCTTTTCTTTTAAGCCCACAGACTCCCTCAGGGCAGTCAGCATTAGCTTTCACCACTGTGGTTCTGTTTTCTCATCATTCAGGACATTTGTGGAGTCCTCTTATTTATTTATTTTGTGAACTTAGCAGTTAGATGGGTTTGGTGTTTATATTTTAGCCAGTATTTTTAGATATTTTGTATTAGGAAGGCTTTTAAGTTACTGGTCTCCCATATGGCCTGAAATGAAGCCAAAATCCTCTTTCTCCTTAATGTCCTGAAATTTCTTGACAGTGTGCCCTGATGTGGGACTTTTTTCATTCGTGGAGCTGGCACTTGGTGGAGACTTTCAATCTGGAAACTCATTTTCTTTCGTCCCGGAAGTTGTTAGCGTTATTTCTGTAAGATTCATCCCCTCCATTTTCTTTCTTTTCTATTTCTGGAACTTTGTATTGTTCAGATATTGGATCTTATGGACTGATTCTTTGGTTTTCCTGTCTTTCTCTCCCACTTTCCACCTGTTTGTCTTTTGTTCTCTTCTCTGGAGGATTTCTTCAACTTAACTTCCAATCATTATATGAAATTTATTTCTCTAAGATTTCTCAGTTCCTAAAAGGTTTTTCTTCTTTGTGGTTTCCTTTTTTATAGTTGTCTATGTGTTTATGGAAGGCAGTGCATTCCTTTATCTCTCTGAAATATTTGTGGTATTTCTTTGTTCTGTTTTCTTCTGCTTTCCTGTATTGTCTCTGTTTCCTCTAAGGTCTTTTTTCCATTTGTTTGGTAGTCAGATTTCTTGTTAAAAGCTTTCATTTTTCTTCTTCTTTTTTTTAAGATTTTATTTATTTGACAGAGAGGGAACACAAGCAGGGGAAGTGGGAGAGGGAGAAGCAGGCTTCCCGCTGAGCAGGGAGCCCGATGTGGGGCTCGATCCCAGGACCCTAGGATCATGACCTGAGCCGAAGGCAAGGCAAACGCTTAACTGACTGAGCCACCCAGGCGCCCAATCTTCTTCTTTTTTAGAAGCTTTCTTTAAATATCTGATGATCTTTGATTACCCATTTATATTTAAAAGCAAGGCAGTAAAATGCCAATTGGAAGGGGTTGTCAGCGGTAGACTTGATTGTAGGTAATCAGGCTGGAACCTGGCAATTTTGACGGGTGTCTTATAGCTCAGGCTCCCATAACAAAACATCATAGACTGAGCGGCTTAAACAACAGACATTTATTTCTCCTATTACTGGAGACTGGTGGTCCAAGGTGCCAGTAGATTCAGTTCTTGGTGAGGGCTCTCTTCCTGCCTTGCACATGGCTACCATCTCGCTATGTGTTCACATGACCTCTTCTTTATGTACTCATGGATGGAGAGAGTGAAAGCTCTGGTCTCTCTTCTTATAAGGACACCAGCCCCCTTAGCGCTGGGCCT